CGTGCGTCATCAATCCGTGCGTCGCCCGGATGTGACGTCATCCGGCCATCATGGCGGAGTCCGGTGAGTTTATGAACGTGAGGCGACGATTCAAGACAAACGAACAAGAAGAAGAAGACGACGAACAGAGTGAGAACACACACACACACACACACACTAAACTAAACATCAGTGGCTCTGACTGAGCTCTGCTCGACTCTCATCAGCGGTGTGTTTATCTCTCCGCCGCTGCTTCTTTGCACCGTGCGCAACACAAAAGCTCCTTTTATTGGTTTCTAAAGGCTTATACATGCTTGCTCCTGCATATGTTTCTAGCTTGTTACAGTATCATTGTTTCCGTTAGAAGAGCATCATATTAAATATGTGACTCCGTCGAGCGTTTCAAATATGTGCTGAAGACTCGCTCCTCTGCTGCCTTTAAAGGGGTCATATGATGCTTTTTTAAAGATCATTATTTGGTGTAACAGAATATGTTGACATGATTTAATGTTCAAAAAACACATTATTTTTCAAATACTGTACATTATTGTAGGTCCTCTATGCCCCGCCTCTCTCAAACACGTCGTTTTCAACAAAGCCCCTTCCTTTGACAAGCGCAGTCTGCTCTGATTGGCCAGCTGACCCAGTGCATTGTGATTGGCCGAACACCGGACGGTAGCTCTCCAGGATCAGGGTTGGAGATCCCTAATATAAGGTTACTGTAAATCAAAGGTTCTCAACTCCAACCTTGATCAATCTCACCAGCTTGTAACTTTGTAGCAATCCTGAAGACCTTGATTAGCTTGGTCAGGTGTGTTTGATTAGAGTTGGAGCTAAACTCGGCAGAAAAGTGGACCTCGAGGGCCAGAGTTGAGAACCCCTGCTGTAAATAGTCATTCAAAATGTTTCTACTTGCAATATACTATTTATGTATTGAAACAAACCATCATGACATTACAGTCATACTCATTCTTGGTTCACATTCTATCTAACAAACATTAACAGCAGACACTCAAGTTTATCTAAATGTTTAATGTGGTAATTTACCCTTACTCCTGGGGTGTCAAACTCAATTCCTGGAGGGCCAGAGCCCTGCAGAGTTTAGATTCAACCCTAATTAAACACACCTGATCCAACTAATCAAGTCCTTCAGGCTTATTTGAAAACTACATGGTATGTGTGTTGGAGCAGGGTTGGAACAAAACTCTGCAGGGCTCCGGCCCTCCAGTAATTGAGTTTGACACCCCTGTGTTAAAGGGTTCGTTCACCCAAACATGATAATCCGGTCGTTATTTACTCATTACAAACCTGTATGACTTTCCTTCTTCTGTGGAACATAAAAAAATATATTTTGAAGAATGCTGGGAACCGAACTGTTTTGGTTCCCATTGACTTCCGCTGTCATTTCAGAAAGTCAATGGGAACCAAACTGTCTGGTTGATTTTTGGGTGGACTGTTCCTTTAAAGCAGTGATGGTGCTCACATGATCCTGTACATGATGAACACACTGGATCCAGCAGAGCTGATGTGTGTGTGTTGTGCAGTATATTGAGTGTGTGTGTGTGTGTGTTGTGCAGTATATTGAGTGTGTGTATGTGTGTGTTGTGCTGTATATTGAGTGTGTTTGTGTGTTGTGCAGTATATTGAGTGTGTGTGTGTGTGAGTGAGTGAGTGAGTGTGTGTGTGTGTGTGTGTGTGTGAGAGAGAGAGAGAGTATGTGTGTGTTTGTGAGAGAGAGAGTGTGTGAATGTTCAGATGTTAAACCATTCTCTTTGTTGTCTTAATGCTTTGGCAATACAAAATGTATTTTTGTCATGCCAATAAAGCTATTTGAATTGAATTGAGTGTGTGTGTGTGAGAGAGAGAGAGAGTTTGTGTGTGTGAGAGCGAGTGTGTGTGTGTGCGCGTGTGTTGCAATTGTGGGTCTGTAAAGCACTATGGCCAGCTAGTGTTGTTTTTAAACGTGCTATGGGAATAAATTATTGATGATTTGATTGACAGTATCAATGATGTTGTTGTTGATCTTATTTTTGTTGTTGATGTTGTTGTGGTGTTGTATTGTTGTTGCTGTTGTTGATGTTATGGTGTTGATGTCGTTGTTGATGTTGTGGTGTTGTATTGTTGTGGTGTAGTGTTGTTGATGTTGTGGTGGTGTTGTATTGTTGTTGATGTTGTGGTGTTGTATTGTTGGTGTGGTGTGGTGTAGTGTTGTTGTTGTTGTTTATGTTGTGGTGGTGTGATGTTGTTGTTGTTGTTGTTGATGATGTGTTGTTGTTAGGGCTGCAAGATAAATCGCTGTAATCAGCGGTAAATCTCCATCACCTGCGGGCTTTCACATGGAGCAGCATTAACTACACAGAGCCGTTGTTCACCGACAAGCTGCGCAAAATATGAACGTGGTTTAGCGCAGCTTGTCGGTGAACAACGGCTCGGTGTAGTTAATGCTGCTCCATGTGAAAGCCCGCATGTGATGGAGATTTACCGCTGATTACAGAATGGCTTTACTGACAAGATGCGCGTTAAATATCGCAAGCGATTTATCGTGCAGCCCTAA